GGTTCCACAAAACTTGCACCAAATTGAAAACAACCATGTATAAGTGTTGCAGTAAACCAACTTCTCCTTAGTTGCTCAACCTTCGCCGTCAGCCTCTATCAGCTCTAATTCAGGAAGCTGTCGAAACGCCTTTGGTGAAAAAACTGCGTATATGATGACTATAACTATGAGAACAATAAAAAATCAGATGAAAACACAGTAAGTGTTGCTACAAATCATCTGGCAAGACACCTATAGCTGGATCAATGTCACATATCACCGATTAGATGAGTGATGCTGTTATACCGTTTCTGAATCTTAACTGACGTGAAAGACAACCGAAGATGATTAATTCATCAACTATTATGTTCACTGATTCCCTGAGACAGTATCTCTGAAAACAACATTGATACTGCACAGTTGGAAATCAATTTTGATTGGCATATAGCAAGAAAAAAACTCCCAAAGTTTCTTACTGAAACTACTAAGTGGTAAAACACTGTTGAAGAGGCTTCAAATGTCTTCAACACGAGATACAACAAGTCCCATCAACATGTAGTGTGATCTTTTGGAATGTTGAAGAGTCAACAGATAATGACTTTTCAATAAGTTGTACACATAGTATGAAGCTGATTGTTTCGGTTAAATAATGTATCCTATCTGAATCGTCTCTTAGAGCACATGTCTTCAAAATACTTAAAATGCTGAGAAAAGTGTGACAAACCCGATCAACTTAGAATTCTGAAGGTTGTTTTAGGTAGCGAAGAAAAAAGTGGATGAACTCTTGAACAACCCATCCAAAGTGAGAAATTTGGAGATCCACCTCTCAACAGACTGCTCTTTTCACGTCTAAATAAAGCAAAAGAACCAATTGTATAACTTAAAGACCTACGAAAGAATGAAGATAATCTTAGAATTGTGTGTTCAGGTTGGGTAGTTTCGGAAACGAATGCTTCCACGACCTATATGAGTGGGTTATGAAACTCATCAAACACTTTGAATGTAATCTAAACCAATGTCCATAGGAATAGAAATAAAATGACGGAACTGAAGACTTTAGTCTGTGGACTAGGTCATGGTTTAATTATTATTTTATTATTTGTCCCCTGGGTTCCTAGTGGAATATAGGGCTTCAGTAGCACGTCTCCATTTCACTCTCTTCTCTGCAGTCATTTCAAATTGACACTACGACTACCCAGAAGCTTTTATTTCTTCCTCACATTCAGATTGTCTATGAGTTTCAGTTGGCCCCATTCACGATTCTTTTACACAATAAACTGATACCAAAATAGTACAATATTTGACGATTGTGTTACATGTGACCTAGATGGTTAACCTGGCGGTATACTTCCATATTTCGTCAGATAAACGTTTATTTTGACATCAGTTAACATGTTTATAGTATCGTTGGCCAGTGAAAACTCACTTCATCGATTTCAGGTAACAGTAACTGTTAGCATAACCATATAATCCATGTGAGTATATAACTCTTCGCATTCCCCTCTCGTAGTATCACCTTACTCAGCAATACGGATGTAATCTATCAGATTCATTTGTTGCTGTACAAAGAGATAAACATCTGAACGACTATTATCCAATGGTGATGCAGTTTTGCACATAGAATTCACATTCAAGCATACAGCATTATCAAAAAGGTATGTTGACTGTTAAGTGTCTTCTATAAAACGGAGTCAAATGAGGTGAAGTATTTGAGTCACTAGGTGAGTTTATTTCTTAGATTTAGTTGTTTGTTTGTCCAGATTTTCGCTGCCATTATCACCGTCCAGAAGCCTTAGATCATTTATTGTAGTTGGGTTTTCGTACTTGCTTGCATCTAACCTGTTGGTAACTGGACGAGTTTGCTGTGGGACGTTTCATAAAGTTGAAAATCAATAGGGGAAGACCAGATGAAAGATTCTTCCAATAATTTCTGGTATCAAGTATGAAGTAGTATATTCAGTAGGTTGACAATTTAGTATTGTTTGTATAAGCATTTTAAGTGTTGGTTGCAGTCAACGTATTTGTAATATTAGTCATGTGTGTATATGTATGGTTCCAGTACTGTGAGCAGAATTTGTCGTATTAAATTCATGGGTAAACCGTGAAGTAGTAGTAATAGTAATATAAATAGTAACTTTACTAAAATTGGTGACATAAACAGTACTAGTGGCACTCCTATTACACTTAATATTAGCATTATAAGTTTTTTTAAATTTTATAATTATTATTAGGATTATTGTCAGTAATAATACTATTAGTTGTACTAGGAGTTTTACTAGTATCAGTAATATTTTTAGAGGGAAACTGATGATTTCTCCAGTGAAGGCATGTTATACAGGTGATCGCTACACGCCTTAGAGTATTGACTGATATCAGTAAAATGGTGTTGATAAAACTAATGATTACTTGATTAACTCCCTTCACATATAATCCCATGGAACATTAAATTAACTTGTGAACAAGCTGAGATTCTTTTTCACCACATATTAAAATATTTGGAAGTGTTTCAATAATATTTGATTAAGTTACTTCTGATTTACAATTTATATGAAAGTTTCACTGAAAAGTTTGTAATTGAAAGAAGTAACCGTTCACAAGAGCATATTGACTAAACGGTTTATCGATGTAGGTGAGAAACGAAGAGTGTTGTAGGAATAAGGCACCGAAACATCTAAGGCTTTACTCTCTCTCAGTTACTGTAGCGACTGTGTGGCGACTTGATGACACCTTACAAAATACAAAGTAATCCAAGTCATATGAACAGTGGAATCCTACTGAACGATCAATATAGGAATCCTCATGGAAACTCGAAGGGGATCACCCATCAAATGCCAAAAATATGTGTAATTTACCACTGTTTCTGTCTGCGAGTTAACGACCACTAAAAGGCCTTGCCTGACAACATGTTCACCCACCCATCTGTTGACAGCCTAACGAAACGTTCGGACAGCTACGCAGCAAGCAACACAGCTTACTCTCATCAAGCAGGGATACACATTGGGCAGAAACAGCCAATTAATTCTTCTTCATCGCCTTTGCACTATCACCCCGGCACCGGCACCGGCACCGACTCCCTTGTGCTGCCATTATAATCACGAAACTGACTCAAAATTATACTTCTGTGTTAGACGTCTTACCCATCTAGTAAGCATCTTCCCAATTACATCATTACAATCTATATTCCAGTCATCCCCAATACAGTCTCACTTCCACCTTCTATCCAGTCTTCACTGAATCTACAGAGGTTTCTCCTTTCGCTTTGTTCGTGTGTAAAATAGGGAAAGATGTTTTGTAGGGAATGATCTCCGAAGACGACCGAAAGCTGAGGCAGTTGAACAGATGAAACAACCAACAACCACTGACAGGAGGTAGAATGGTGTGTTCCAAGAATTAATAATTCTGGTTTCCTCATGTTGAGAGGTGGTATGCTGACTGTAGTCAAGTATATGCAACTACAGGAGTGTTGTAAACGTTTGATTTCAATAGACGGAATGCTACAAATTAGGGTTTCCTAATGTGGAAAAATCCTCAAAGAGAGATACATGAACAGTTCACATTACTATTCGAAGTGTTCACCAAACGATTTCTTAAATGTTCTACCACCAGATGGTTGTAAGACTAGGAAGAGAAGAAAGCAAAGATGTTCAGGGAAAACATTTTGGAGGAAGTCAGAAAAAAAGTTTGGAAAGAAGCAGAGTGAAGGGGAAGCAGAAACCTTGGCAGATTCGGCGACGACAAGAGAGAGAACAGCGATAAGGAGAAACTTGATCAAGGAATAGAAGCAAGTTACAGAGACCTCATCATCATTGCAATTCCTTTCCATTCTCCTCCATCGTGCACACACACACACACACACACATACACAGCTGAACAAAACTGATGACAGTCATGTCTGATCATACTCACATACACACAGGTGAACAAGTTTAAACACACATTCCAACCAATATACGATAGCATATAATATACATATACAACCTATATCATTTCTCAGTCAATCAGTCTTGATTACTTCATGTCTTCATTGTTTTCCACTACATATTGTCGATTACGATGATAGAGAAAATCGCTGACCTGATCAACTCTAATCTCACAATAATCACTTCAATTTGAACTCACATAGAACATCATCAGGTGAGTCGTCATTCATCCTGTAGTTTTCATTTCATATGATTTTGCGTACATTTTAAGGTGACAATCAGGTCACACGTTTCGTCTATCATGAACTGATTAAATATATCAGAAAATATAAATTGATAAAATCATGAAAGTGTTCTGTTGTGAATCACACACAACTCAACATTCTATGACATTGGCCATCATCACAATTGACTATCATACATGTTGAATCTACACATCTTCCAGACCCATTACAAGTCAGGTATCCTAGTTATAACAATTCAGTTTGGAAACCATTCATGGGATACTTCAAACACCATTATAATTGGGAGTGTGTTAATCTCCCCATAGAAGCATAATCTCAGATATGCCTGAATCACTATTATGGGTGGGATATGGCATTAGGATGAATATCATCCTGATGTAAGAGAACAACTTCTACGAATAAGAATAAATGTCAGAGTTCAGATTGAATTTATTCTAGTGTTCACTGCATGTGAACTAACCATGAAGTGTATGTGAATGAGTGGAGGGAGCACTCGAATCGGTGCATTCAATTATTGTTATTTCATTAGACCGCTGTCAGAATTTCGATATACTACACGGTAATTTGATTCTTACATCTTCACATCTCTTCTTTATCACCTGTGTTATATAAAATTCAAATAAATCCCGATCTTCACTTGTTAGCTCGAAAATAAAATGCTCTCTCTGGGAAATATTTCTCTCCAGTTCAGGAAGGCGTACATGGATGCCATCAATTAAGTCTAGAGCATGTCATTTTCACTTCATTGACAACATTTGATACATATTTCACTTTCTGATATCAATTCATTCCTTATTCATTGACGTATTTTACACGTTTCAGCTTACTTATCATCACCATTTTACAATTCTTTGACAACACTTGTCGCTTATCTCACCACTTGTTATCAATTCGTTCCTCCTTATTCGCAGTGACCCATTTTCTATCTCTTCCACTTGAACAAATACCACCACCCCTTCACTGATTGTATATTTTGCATATTGACTGAGCAACTCCCTTTTTAGTGCAATTATCTGTCACTTTACTCAGTGTAAATACGACTGCTGTACAGCTTGATAATGAAGTCCTTGAAAAGGAATGCCTTGTTCTTGTTAATGAATAAATGGGTATATTTCGTCAGATTCTGTCAATACTTATTCAACTTTATCATAGACGTAGTTATGTTTGTCTCCGTGTTGTAGTCTGACTTCGTGCATATCGATCTTATCACATGAGAATATCTTTGGTACACCTACAGTATGCAGCTGATATATTCGTGTAAGGTGAAGACACTGACACGATACTGTCTTCAGGACGTGTTGAATGGCGGTTTGAGAGTGTTTGCAATGTGTGATAAAGAAGTCATTGAAAAGAAATATTTCTTCGCTGATACACGCCTTGTTCTTGTTAATTGACAGAATCGATGGATATCCTTAATGGACAACACATAGGCTCTAACACGCCAATAGGTGTTCGAGTAAACAACCTTCAACAAAGTGATATACTTAATCGACACATCTTTCAGTCAGAGACACTACCATAAAACCCTTCAAGCAATGGAGGGCCAATGAAACAATAGATAATCTTACACTTCTCATTCAGCCCAAAATGAAGTTAGCACAATTTCCATGGCAAAATGAAATCGATTCACTTAAGCTGAGAAAAATATTCTTCAACTATTGACTAATAAGTCTAATTCACTGGAGTACTACAAATACCACAGAAGTAGTGATTGGAGAATTTTACACTTACATCCGGCAACCCCCCTCCCCACCTATAACTGTGGGAACACACTGAACTGATACACAACACAATCCACATCAATAACACAATCCATGCGTTATCTTCAATATGAAATGATTTATTAAAAAGAAATACAACAACATCACTCAGTGAAAAAACAAACAAACAATCGACTGACTGACTAACTGACACAAATCAAGATAACATAGCAACGAAGTTGTATAAATATCCCTGAGTTAAATAGACATGAGAAAGTAGACTCCTTAAAGCATCACTTGTGCCAATCAACCACTTTCCTTTCATAAACAAATTGATTAATTGGCTCCTTCGATCCAATCGGTAATGTGGCCAAGTAAAACGGTGTATCAGCGCCTGGAATAACAAAAAACATCCTATCAGATCGTTGTGCTGAAACAAAACAAATCTTCCCAGTCGTGGTGGTGGTGGTGCTGGTGCTGATGTTAACATACCAACTGATAATCTAGGTGAAATTCGGACAAAATGATACTCTAACAATACTTCCACAATTATTACGGCAACACACAGAGAACGGATAAACTATGGTGATTGAATGAAGAAAGAGTGAACCGAAAAGACAGACACAATCCTGTAGCAGTTTGAAAGGCATAGCCAAAGAAATAAAACCACCGAAGCTCAAACAAATCGTACACATCATACTCGAAGCCAACATGTTACTCCAAACCAGATGACAGAGTACGCGCATCACACAACGGGATAACTCCGTTCACCCAACAAACAACATTTTAAAATAAATCAAGTTTGTATAGCGGTTTTTCTGCTAGATGACCCCTATGAGAATACAACTGAGACACACACACACACACAGACGTTGTGAAAGCAACCCCATGTGAAAGAATTACTCGCCACATGGTAGATAAAGTAGCCACCAAGTTTCCAACCCTCATCGAAGTCTAACCATCAAGTTTACAAGCTGCCCAGTGGCCAGTGAGCTAAATAACACACATTATCGTGTACTGTTATTACAATGAATGGGTCATATTATTATCACTGTCTGTTAGAACACAAATATGGTACAGAAAAACAACTAAGAAATACGCCACACAAAGCAGTATAACAACTAAGTGAAAACATAAACGATTGGAAGAGCAGTCCGGTTAGAAACATTCAGAACAAAACATTCATTACTTTTCAGCAGTCGAACATAGGAGGAAGCTTTAGCATGACCACCAATGGTTTCGATCCTCAGTCATATCTGATAACTTATCAAGCCACTGAGTTGCGTGATCTCTCGGACTCCACCCACGTAGTCATGATGCACCAACAGATCCTAACCCAATACAACTATCCTTCATTCCACGGCCCACATCTCGTACACTGAACATCCCTCCACTTCTCTACTTCAATCACAGGGATAACAAACAATAAACAGTACTCAAGCCGTTGGGACGACAAGCGTAACACATATCCAAGCCAACAAAGCCGGTGTTTCCAGATGACCTCAATTATTGAATGACGAACCCCATCATATCCAAACACACGACGTCGGACTTCACAATTCCCACCGGATACCAGCAATACTACGAAGACAACGATAGTCGAACACACAGAGTCGTCGCACATCCTTAGCTCAAAGAGGAGGAGGTTTCACACGCGTACAGTAGAACTCCTCGCACAGAAGCGTTGTAAACTCGACCTTTCACTGTCAGACTAACGTCGTCACAGCGCCAAACGTGACCCAGATTGACGTATGCCACTCTGGCTTTCGATACGCCGTTGCAAATTTCACCCCTCACACCACCAGCACACACACACACACAACTACCCAGATACACGAACAACTTTCCTACGACTACCAACGGCTCACCATCGAGGGTGAGCGCAGACAAAAACTCCCCCAAATCTTTCAAAAGTATTTTGCACTTCAGTGGTAGCAAAGCACCTACGATACCTACAGACACTAATCTCAAACTGATTAACTACCACTTGAGTAGCTTGTGTGTTGTCGTATAGTAGGACGATATTGTCCGCATATTCAAAGTATAATAGTAGTCCTTCTCCACTTAGTATTAGATCTACACCATCATCACGCACTTCTTTCAAAACTCCCGTGCAACATACATTTCCTCAAGATTGTAGAAATGTTGAGCTAATGAGTGCGAAACTCTCTTATACATCAATTCCTACACATCAACTTCTAGCAGTTAACAGAAAATCTCCATCGATACACTTTAGATCCTTCGAAAAGAAATCAATATGCTTACTGCTGATGACAATACGCTTTTGCGTATATTTATCGCTTTTTCGTACATTAACCACGCTTGTTCAGTTTAATCGAACTGATCATTATTATAACGGAACAGCATACACCTAGTGTACCAGTGTGTAACAACCAAACAATCCTTTATGTAGCAAAATCAACAGTTGATAGGATTCATCCATTGCATCATCTCAACTGCAGTCAGCCGACGCGTACGCAGATACTACGAACAGTCATCGACCAATATCATTACAATTCCCAGCTCCCACTCATCCCTCCAGACAGACAACGAACAAACGCCTTTTGACTGATATCCAGTCTACAAGTCAGATTTCAAAACAGATACTGAGTGAACCTAATCCACCTAGATTGACAGTTCAAGATAGATTCATTGGCAGTTAGTCAACAAACTAGATGTGGAAGTCTCTGATTCAAACCAGTGGTACACATCGACCCTACCATGCAGAATGGAAGAATAGTGTATAGGCATCACCAACCATGGGAATGTAGCATTTCACACTGCTCTATTGCCTTCTGAAAGACAATAGACACGTTTGGCTAATTCTGGAAAGCCTTGACATCGATGTATACTGAATATTAAAGTCTCACATACAAGATCTCAGTGAAATACTCTGAATAACTTTTCTATCTGTTGGCACAAAATCTCTATTCACAGTGCGTTTATCAGGGGACCCTGTGGAGTCGGCAGTCCACCTCACCGGTTCTGGTGTCGCACCAGGTGTCAGAACTAAAGCTGAACTAATCAAATGGATCTTCATCAACAGTTACCTGTCCACTGGTAGGTCAGAATGTTTGATTAGAGTGAAAAGTAGCTTGTAAAGGACACGATGCCTCTTCTTCATCCCTGCCTATCCCCCGACTGACTTCAACCAGGATGCAATTAAGGATGAGTCCACAACAAACAGGGTGAACTCTAACATATGAACACGACAGATATCGCAGTGCTAGCTGGGGACATGAATGCGCACCTACGACCAACTGAGACTACCTCATCTAATCATGGTTTGTAAGACTGGCAGTATTATTGGGAATGTGTGATGAATAAAGGTGAAATCCCACCTTTAGTCATTCATTATCTAGTACTAACAAGGAGACAGTCAGTAGTCGTCCAGCAAGTTGCAATATAACTGCCCACCAAATTCTATAGATGGTCTTTTACAAAATGATAACAACAATTAGGCTAACAGAATTGTCTCCCAGTTATCAATTGTTGCTAAATTCACTCATAATCAGCTGTTATATCTCATGGCTCAACCTGGAATTACACGACACATAAAACAATCTTCAACAAGATCATCACTTGATTAACAAGAAGGTGCCTTATGAATTTCCATTGTTACTCAAAAAACGTTTGTTTGAATGAAACAGAAGCATGAGTGATGCACTCAGAAACTATTTCCATGCAACACCTAAAAGGCAATGACCAAAACCTACTCTGTGTAAGTTAGTCACACTAGTTAACTGGTCAAAAACTCGGTAGGCGAAGTGAGCTTCAATTCAAACCTATGAGCTACTGGTCACAGGAAGTCGAACACCTACATCAATGGAGCCACAGCTCCACACAATTCAACAAAGAATATTCTTTTCAATAAGTCATTGAAACAACTATTCTTTGTTCATCTAGATACCATTTGAAAATCATAAACATACTTTGATAAAAGAAATGGTTGTTCACCCACTTACCTTCATCGGTAGTCTTCACTCCTTTATGACTAGTCATATCAGTATCAACATAACCCGGGCAACACTATCAAATACGCAGAGACAGAAATGGTAAAATATTTGTGATTTATAGAGAATGAAAAAACAACACAATACAAATGGCAAGAAGCAAAACCAGCACACTTTTTAATGAGAATAATAAGAATTGATTACAAAACCAGTAAAATCTCTCAATGTAGATAATGGACACATTTGGATCCGAATCTATGAGCACATATACACACAACTGAATGGAGTGATGAAAACTGTTCGAATTGTTTACATATCTCTAACCTCAAACAGCAGCCTACTATCGATATATGAAAAGTCATCTGGAAATTATCCACCCACCATCACAATGTTCTACGCAAAACTCTACGCAGTGGCAGTTCGACACACACCTTATGCTAAACGCCAATAGTCGTCAAACACCTGAAGCCTTCTAATGCCCTCAACCTACATTGGCTGTGTTTCTCGATCGATCAGCAGAACACACAGAACTAACACTACAATACACCAAACCCTAACAGACAATCAGAAATCACAACAGAGCCACGAATTGCGGGATTTGGTAAAAGCCAAACCAGACTTTCATATCCGTCCATGGGCTTTGAAGGTCGCTGACCCACCAAGGCTGATCCCACTTCCCAGGTACGTGAAGTAGTCAGCACCCCCAAACACCTTACTCCCTATTTTCAAGCAACCACCTGCCTACCCTAGATCAACTAAGGAGTCTTTCGTGACAACGCCAAACGACGAAGGAAACCTCCATCAGCACGCCTATAACAAAATCAAATAAAAGTAAACATCCTTTACGGACACTACTCACCTCATAACTCAACATGACCAATGATACTCGTCACGCCTCTTCGAACACAGAACCCTTGACAGGGTGGTTACTTACCCGGCACCCTTATCAATCGGAGATCACTCGATTGACAAAGTAGAGCGCCAAACGACCCCAGAAATCAAGAAATATAGCTAGTATTGGGCATAGGTAGGTGTATCTCTGTCCCAATACCTGGCAAAGAATGAATATCTTGTCGATATACCCAAAACCCGGTCTGAAACTTGTTTGGTCTTCTCAGGTTTGCTGTTCACAAAGTGAACTTAAGTGTATAATGATTACTGGACCTAGAATCTCGGACAGCGTGTTATTCAGATTGATTCCCTTGCGACTACTACTACTGAAAGTTTCGAAAATCAATACGTACTGCTGTCTATACGCATCGAAGGTCCTCGCGCAGTGGGAACCAATCTCCCCGAGGACCACGACAGCAAGGTTCAACTCAAAAGGAAGGAAAGTCATAATCGTACAATGCTACGCTAAGCACCTACAAATAATACAGATTAAGAGGAGGAATTCTACAGACAACTACAATCAGTACTGGACAAGACCCCACCCGGTTGGCGACATCAAAATTCTAATGGGTGATATGAATGCCAAACTGGAAGCGGACAACACGGGCAGAGAACCAATCATGGGTCGAGAAGCACTCGGTGAAATGAACGAGGATGGAAAACTGTTTGCAGACGTCTGAGCATTCAACGATTTGGTGATTGGAGGCAGTGTGTACTAGCACAAGGATATTTACGAAGCGACATGGATTTCGCCAGATGGACACACTAAAAATCCAATCGACTTCACCTCAATCTCAAGAAAGTGGAGACACAGCCTACTGGACACAAGATCAAGGAAACAATGGCCTGACCACTTCGAAAAACACTTGAATCCACCCCTACCTGCAACTCGTCCAGAAATACCACCAGCAACCCAGACACAGAATTACCAGTGAACACAAACCCTCCGACAAAAGTCCTCAACGCCATAAAGCTGCTGAAATCCGACAAAGTAGCAGGACCAGATGGAATTCCACCAGAAGCACTGAAAACAGATGCAGAGACAACAGTGGACATCCTCACACCACTACTGCAGAAGGTTTGGAAGGAAGGGAAGGTACCTGCCAGTTGATTGGAAGAAGGGTTACCTTGTCAAACTACCAAAGAAGGGAGACCTAAGTGTTTGCAAGAACTGGCGCATAATCATGCTCCACTTTTGTCCACCTCAAGCAAAATATTAAGCCGCATCATCCTAGAGAGACCAAAAAATGCGCTGGATTCAAAATTACGACCGGAACATGCTAGTTGGTTTCAGGATGAACAAATCATGTGCGGATCAAATTGCAACGCTACGCACCATCATAGAACATAGTATAGAATGGCAGTCAACTCTCTACCTCAACTTGGTCGACCTGAAAAGGCCTTCGACAGCGTCGACCGAGAAGTAATTTGACAGGCAGCTGCTTCAACACTACGGATTTACCGCCACAAACCTTTATCAACCTGATTCAGCAGCAGCCATATGCTATGCTATATGATGCCACATGCGAAGTGGTTGACAATGGAAAGCTGAGTGATGCCTTTCAAGTGAAGACAGGTTGACTGGTAAGACAAGGTCGCCACCTACTATCACCGTTGATCTTCGTGATTGTGGTTGACTGGACTGGATTAGATGATGCAAGAAACTGTGAGGAGCTGTGAGAAGGTGTGCATACGCTGTTTGACCGATGAAAATTACCTAGATTTGCATTTCGCCGATGATGTCTAACGTAGCGCACAAACTGGAAGATGTACAGGCGAAAATTAACAAGTTGGCAGAGGAGAAAAGGCAGGACAGTGAAGGAAGACGGGACTTCCTTCAGGTGAGGGTGTAGAAGACAGAGGTGACAGTTGCTTCAACACTTAGGAGTACCACAAACATTTATCAAACTTATTCAACTACCATATGAAGACACCACATGCCGAGTGATTCACAATGAAAAGCTCAGTGACGCCTTTGAAGTGAAGACAGGTTGATAGGTAAGACTAGGTTGTCGCGTACTATCACTGATGATCTTACTGATTGTGATGGACTGGACCATGCAGCAAACCGTTAGAAGCGAGTAGAGGGGCATAAGCTGGACATCATGATAGCCACTCCCTCAGTGCGCTCGTGGTTGTCGTCTGAGTGACCGGAGTAGATTATTGACTCTCCAGTTGACAGTTTGGAAAGTCCACTTCCATTCCATCTGCTTTCGCAGATTTCTAGCACTTCTATGTTATACCTTCTCATCTCTTTGGCAATCGCGGCAGCCTTGCTAGGTTCAAACATTGTTCGAACATTCCATGTCCCCATTCTTACTTTCGCTTTCATCGGGAAAAGACACATCGACCGATTGGCTTCCCGAAGGCTTTCACCAACTGGCGTCATGTCACTTCTCCGATTCCAGCAAGGAATGTGTAATTTCATGTTTAATATTTTCTTTGTGCAGTTAGATTGGTTTTACGGGGTAGGGTTGCTAGCTCTATGCACAACCTTTCCTCTTTATCCGGGCTTAGGACCGGCTAGTAACTAGTGAACTAGTTACCCAGGCAAGGTTCCACGTGTATGCGTAAAACAACACAAATTAAAAACAAAATAAACTAACCGAATTCATGATAATTTTTCTACAGTCATCTTTTAACATGTCACCGAAAATGAAAGAAGCCTTGGTAAGGCCTATTTTGGAAACACCATATGCAGTAGATGGCCAACCCTTAGCGGAATGAGTCCCATCTTCAGCGCACCTAGTGTTATCGGTTTAAAAATGACAAAATTGATTGTGTACAGCAACGAGCGAGAAATCCGACGAAAAAATAAATAAAAACTTGTGTAGATTTCACGAAAAAAGATCAATAGGATGCTATTACCATACACATAACAAACTTGTAAAATGTACAAAACTGAACCAGCTGAAAATGGAATCAATATCAAAATAATGCCTCTCAAATATGGGAGCCCAAACGAATAGTGAAGTGAACCCGTGTCCTAGAAAGGGTGCTTCGATAAAAGACAGTATCTAACACTATCGAGAATATATTTGTTTTGTGTCCATACTAAGATTAACAATTGGTACAGGTAACAAATAAATCTCTATTCACCTATTTGTTCCCAACTACCCAAAAAACAGTTACACGAAAAAAATGCCAGTTGTCTCAGTGTTACGTCATCATCGCCCATCAACATACGACCAGGCATTACTGCATAACGGTCCGAGTTGCCACACCTCATATCAGTACATCAAGTAAAAAGGCAGTAAAGTGCAAGATGAAGATAAGAAAATTCAGTTAAAAGGAACACAAAGCACGAAAAGAGAGAAAGGAAAAGTGAGAAAATGGTGAAGTTCAGTACAACGTTAAGACGAGGATAATGTGTGCGTACATCTGCGCCACTGACATCGGTTCTTAAACATATCACCAGGAGTCTCCAACCACTGGTTTCTCTTGTGCCGCGGACTCCAACAAGCTTGTCTGCGTCGCGCCACATGGATCAAACTGGCAGTCAAAGACTTCATACATTGATGCTATGTTTTAGTCTGGCCGCCTCGGGCCTTTTTCTAGTCTGGACCTACTTCGGCCAACATTGTGTGAAAAGGTAATCAGCGACTGGGAATACGTAACGTGTGTCAAGTCAGTGATTTCAAACTACGATAAGACATCATAATTCTCATCCAAACAATGAATTGTTCCTCATGAAACTTTTGCCAATAATTTAAACTGAAACAAGTTATATTGAAATATCTACATAATTCATGGAACTGGAATTAAGTTTGACTTTTACATACCCCTACTAAAATTCGGCGGTGAATGCGGTAAATGGAAGTCATACAAACTGTAGTTGCAAAGACGTATCTGCGCGTAAACGTCATTCAAGTAGTCAACTAACGGATGAACAAAGGTCTTGACACTGACAAACTGTAAACGCACACAGACTCACTTCAATAAAACGAAATGAGTACTACAGTACCTTTTAACCGATGTTTCATCCATCCTACCTACATAATCCACTTTCTCAGAAAGCAATTAGCGAATCATCCTCTTCGCCGCTACACAGAGGTGAACAAATCCAGTCACATAAAACCTCTCAATAAGGTTGATCACTTTATATTATCCGACAATTCATTCTTCGACCGCATGAAACACAGTTCCCATGAAATCCTATCTTGCTCAATTCAGCTATCATCTACTAATTTAACGAGGTGGTACGACTTGTGTATCGTGGTGACCCACTAGAGTTATACCAGCTCGAACGTTCGCTGAAGATAGGGTGAAAATTTGCTATTATACTACTGTAAACAACTCAACTATCGTCACAGGAATTAATACTAGTGTTTGTCGTGACTTACCATCCTCAATCATATCATGCTCTTCAGAAGAGATTCAATTGAAGGATAAATATTGCATCATCGCTTGCCACTTTTCGTTGCAGATGGTGAGTTTCTCTAAAGAAGAAGCAACACTTTCTTCGGGTTTTTACTAAGACCTCATCTGACCAGTCTCAAGGGATTTCAGGTTCTAAGCGAACTAAGTTATTTGCTAATCTGAGTTTTCTACGAAGACATAAACCAGCTGAGAAGTAACAGTCTCCCAAAAAACTCTCGACTATGTGTTTAAGTAGTCGCTAAAACTTTACTGTCATCTTTTAGTATGTGTCACTAGTAACAATACCACTTGCTCAGTTTCCTCAGATTTTCAGTTCTTTAAACTCAAGAAATAGCATCCCTGGTCTGTTCAAATCAACCTGCCAGATGCATTCAACGACTACGTGCATGTTCATACAATAGACAATGAGCCACACCAACTCGTAGGTGGAGCGAGATTCGAAGGCGAAATCCACTTGGTTGGAAGTCGAATGTCAACACAAATAAGCCACAATTAAGCGTATGCTGAAATAGTTAACGTCTGAAGTTTGTGGTTGATGAGACAGGGATTCACTAACCAGGTTACATAGGTATGTTGTACATACACAAGGGTGTAGTGTGACTATTATTCGAACACTACCTAATCAATGTAGTGAATGTTCAACTTATCTTCAGGGTTTCAACTGAGTACTCACTACGGACTGATATCAGTTGAAGAGCCATTGAAAACCTGGGAGCACTGGACAGCTGTTTCCTCCCGGTATGGGACTTAGCAGTGTGAACTCACAACAATCCCATCAAGGGTCGAACCCAGAACCTTCAGGCTTCGTGGTGAGAACGTCCCCAGTGAGTCACTAGGTCAGAATCTAATGTTCCACACTTTTCTACTCCTGTCAATTTGCGATATAGTGTAAACATCCAACGCCATCATTGGATACTTTTGCTCTAACAGGCCACGACTTCTTAATAGAAACTTAAGAAATCCCATCTTGCAGCATTTCACTAATGGGTACTCTGAAGATTCGATAGTAAATCCTTGTGAAACATAACAACTAATTATGAAGTAACTAAACCATGTGCAGTGGACCACACCTAAGGGGAGATCTGAGTATGCCAACTAAATACCCAAACCCCGGCACTGGAACCACTGACCCACGAGTAGTTAAAATACCAAACCCAAGAACAAAAAGTCCTTTCTTAATTATATCGCAGTTGATAGTTCATCACCACTGCTATAGGGTTTGGTACAGCAATGTCATAAAAAGGGAGTAGTGACGACGGTTATCTGTAACTTTGAAGTCAATAAGCATGGCTGCCTTTCCACAACCTTGTTCACAACCTGCCACGTAAAAACTTACTCCACTTGGGTCCCAACATGACTAGGCCAAAAACATTTGAACAAGTAAACAGCAATCTTCGCGCAAAATATGAACGAGATGCAGAACGCATTTACTAAACAACAGTTAACTGTACGATAAGCTAATTAAAAGCTAACCAAAGAAGAGTTACAACTAGTTAGTCTTACTAAAGGACATATGAAATACAAGTTCAAATAAGAACTGAAAGAATCGACAGGAACTTTTAATGTGCACTCCAACTGTGCTATTATAGAAACACTCCCTGCGTACAACTTACAAACAACGTCTTCAACTTTTATGACAATTGAATTTAACTACGCACCATTAAAATTCGCAATCAGCAAAAATACTACTTTGTGATAACCACATACAACTCACCTCAATTTTATACCATTAATACTCTCCTAGTAATGTCAATTTGACAAACATGTGAGACGCAGGAACAGTAAGCACACCAAAAAGCGAATAAACTTGAGACACTGGATGATACATTAACCACATCACCCTATTTCATACGACTTTACAATACAAGTAGACCTGAATTCGAATATGTGAAAGAACTCAAATTCGTTAATGAAGTTTTACGTAAATATGTAGTAGTCAACAGAAGCGGAGATAATTTGTACATAGCTCCATGAAGGCTCAAGGGTATTCAGTTGATGTCGTGAACTCATGTGGCATTCAGTTCCCGTTTTCCTTCAATCTTATTGTAAAGGTGGTTAACTTCAATGCTTTCAGAACCAACTATCCGACAGACTGATATACATAAGTCGCCTGGCTGGTGAACGATATGCAGATATCATGGTTAAATTAAAGCAGTAGGTAAAAGCGTGGTTCTCAAGGTAAATCAGAGATAAATTAAGAATTCTCAGGGTGTCTCGCACATGATCCCAAATTGACCCAGATTGACATTCGGAAAAAGCAATAGGGATAAGGTGAACAGCACGCTTCTCACGCTTGGTTTCTTAAGAAATTAGATAAAGCTAGGACTACATGCAAAAAATAAAATTAACATATCTATTATAATGGTTAAAATAATAAACCTCACTTAACAAATTCCAACATTAGTGTTCTCAGCTCTGAAAGATTCATAGGCCCAACGATTTTCTCGTACAATTCGTTGCTTAATTTCTTCAGACTGGACAAAGACACAGAACTAGATACATTGACAACCCTAAAAAGTATCAAGTAGCAGTAATGTCGTACCTAGCATTTTCAGCTAACAAGGGAATGAACTCCTCAATAAAATCAACGGTTGAAGTGAAATTGGTGTTCACCGTAACTTTGGCTTGCTCACCAAATGGAGCTGGAGAATCCACCTAAAAGATGTCATTGTAAGGGCGACTTGAAAGCTACTTTATAAGCTATGCCAGCATTATTCACACAAATGTTTATCCCACCAGGATAATTCTTCTGCACAAATGACAGAAATGCTTTTCGACTGTTAGGATCTGTTATATCTAATTGGTGAAATTTGACATCAAGTCCTTCATCTGCCAGTTTTTTCACAGCCTGAAGACCAAGATCAACGTTCCGAGCTGTAAAATAATCAACACATAAAGACTACATACCTGTTAAATAAATGTCCCATTCTCCTGACGTCCCATAAAATTTTGCAAGCTTCTCAACAATACTATATCCAATACCTTTATTAGACCCGGTTACCTAAAATGACAACATATTCTGAATAAGGAGACAGATAATGCATCATACAAAAGCCAGTTTCATTGTTGCTTGCCACAGACTCCCAAGTTATTCAGGGAACTTAGCAACAAAACAGATGTCAATGGGTTCGAAATGACGAAAGCACATCAACACTGATGACAACGCACACACAGAAAGCAAACGAACAGTTGTTGATAGGTTTTTGTCTTGACTGTAGGTGGGTGGTACGCTGTTTCAGAGAGGTTTGTGAGTTTAGTGATCAGAATCTGAAAGGGAAAAGAGGGAGAGAGAAACGTGAGCACACAACTCAGCAAGCGCATACGATGTACTTACACTTAGTATTAACTGATAACTGATACACCGTACAAGGTTGCCGGAGAAACAACTTTGGAAATCGCGCTCCAATATCCAATATTGATAGTGCGAGCGTAGAAACTGATAGTTTTTGATCTCTCGCATCTATTAGTTACAACTTATTGGGTGATAAGGGAACCACAGATCGGTGGGAAGATTAAGTGTCTGTCATGGCCCCTACGTGTGAAGCCTCACGTATAGGAACAGCAAGGTAGTGAGAAAAGGTATGTGGGACTTACCCGAGAGGTAAAAGTAGGTAGAATACGTCGAGTTGCTAGAGAAGAGTTAGCAGACAATGCACCCGTATCAATAAGAGAGGTAGTGAGTGGTAAGTAGAAGAGGAGTGATGGTGGGCTTATGAGGCTAGTAACCCCCTGAGTAAGTCAGTGGTGGGCCGTGCGAAATGACATAACTGTCTAACCGTCTTTTGAATGAGTGCCGAGAGGGCTGTGACTATATACCGCAGCTGGGCATTCCATACAGCACATACCCTAAGAGAAAAATTTGGCCTGAGTGGTAGTTAGGAGGGAGATGGGGCCAGTGGACTTGCCCGAACGTAGCCTAGATAGTTTCTCGAACACTTTTTTCTCTGCAATAGAGACATGACAGAGGTATTCGTTATTTACGACTTGGTCGGTGTCGTAGCGAGTCGGTGTGGATCTTGTGTCAGTGCTCAGTTGGGCTTGGAAGTGTGAGCTCAAAAGCTCAGCAATCTCTAGACTACCTAGTACACCCCCGTCATGGCCTATGACATGATTCATTCCCTTACTGGTAGACTTCCTTCCCGATATGAAGCGGTACAAGTTTTGGGGTTGCTTTGTAACCTCGCCGACAAGTTTGTTTGATAGGAAAATCTGTCGCTACGCACTGTAATGTTAGAGCGGTTGCGAATCCTTTTGTAGTTCAAGAAGTCAGACTCCCTGCGTGATGTACGCCACTTGAACCAAGCCTGCTTCTTGCTATGGATAAGCCTCTCTGTCCCACGCTTTAACCATGAGGTTCTCACTGATTGTCTGTGTGTTACTTCTGGTACACTGTGACTGATGGCCCCAGTGATTATTTTCTTCACCTCCAACCAGTGTTCATCTATTGTGAGATGAGTCCAGTCCACTGGCCATGATGCATTCATGAGGTAGTCCCTCATGGTCTCATAGTTGGCCTTGCTGTAGCAAGGGAAGGTGTTGGACGTCTCCAGTTGCAGAGCCTCCCTAGTTATCATGGAGAAGGTGATTACAGCGTGGTCACTGAGGCCAAGGGGAGGTTGGATGCAAACATCCTCAATGAGAAGTTCATCGTTCGTCAGAACGTAGTCAAGGCGCGATGCGTTTCCGTTAGGTCCCCAGCGTGTAGCATCACCCACTTTCTCTGAGAGGCCAGCAGTCTTAATTGCATCCTTCAGCTTCTGATTGAAGGATCTGATGCGTCTCCCTTCCGTCTCGAAGGGGATGGACGGGGTGTTGAAGTCGCCGGCAATAATTTGCAGAGGAAGTCGTTAAGATAGCCTTGATGATCATTTCCTTATGTGTAGGGGAGCTGGTGGGGACCGATATATGACTCCGAGCAGGTATTTGGTACTGTGGAGAGTGAAGTAGCACCATAGAGACTCTGGGAGCTGGGTTAAGGCCGTATCGCTAACCATCCTTGCCTTTAAACGAGAGCTTACGTAGAGAGCCACTCCCCCTGCTCTATGTTCCCTGTCCCTGCGGAAGAGTTCCATGCCAGTAACATGCATCTCTTCGTCGGAGATGTCTGGCGAGAGCCAGGATTCGGTGATGAATATGATGTCGGAGTGCTGATGTGCACGCAGCGTCCTCATTTCTGCTACCTTCCCTCTTAGCCCCCTAACGTTGCTGTACATACATATTAGAGTGTGCCTGGTGAGGGGGAGGTCTGGTTGTGTATTTTCGCAGGATGAGCTTATGTGGTTGGGTCTACCTCGCCAGTCCTCATAGGACTGGCATTGTTCCGTTTTTTGTGTTTTGTTTTAACTTGGGTGGGGGCTGTGGCAGTGGTGGCTTCTTTACTTGATGTATCTAACTCACTGGTCAGCGCCTGTGTGACGACCACTGACTCCAGAGGTCTTGGTGGTTGCCGTCTCTCCTCTTGCCTTGTGGGTCTAGGCTTACTTTCACATATACGTATTGAGCCACCCATGCGATCCTTCGCATTATACCATGCCTGTAGAACGTCTGTGAGGGAGGCATATGAGTCGAACTGGACGGCGAGTAGTCTGGGATTGGGTATGGTCTTCAGGTGCGCTGGCCTTGGCAGTCTACTGACGCTGTTGGCCGGTATACTGTTGAGACCAACTTTGGTTGAGAGCCATTGCCATTGTTGGACGTCGTGAAAGTACCGATCTTTGACCGAGCTGTCACTTGGCAATTCTGGAATCCCATGTACAACTATAGTGTTGTTTCTGTTGGGATTTCCAACCGCTGACTTTCTCTCCTCCTCTCTTATTGACCATGGCTTGTCAGGCCTGGCCCGAATTTTACAGGCATTAACAACGTCCGGTTGTCGCGAGAGAGGAGTGTGTCTTCAGCCTCTTTGGCAGTATTTAGGGACACACGTAAAGGGGGTGGCTTATCTCGGGGTGCACGGCTTCCTCGAGAAAGGCGACACAAAGTTGCAGGGAGGGGAGGGAGTCCCAGCATCTGACAGTAGTCGGTCCACATTCGGCTGTCAAATTGTTCCCTCTCGACCAACAATGAGTCTGTCGATACATCGACGTTGAACAAAATGATCGAGTTGGTCCTCCTGTGACCTGGGTTCGTTGTGGGTGGCACGCCCGACTTCCCAATGGGTTTGAGTAATTCCACTGGTTGTTTCTCAGTCACGGTGTGTGGGTGTTTGGAATGGGTTTCGTAGAGGCTTCAGCGGTCGATGTCTTTGGCCATGCGCTTGACGTCCCCTGGGGCCGGGTAGGAGGTATGGAGACTTGACCTAATATGGTCCCCACGCGAGGTGGCGTGCCCACAGCTGGAGCTCTAGGTCTGTTTCCAGGTCTCTCTGTGTTATCCTTTGGTGTTAACCCTACTTTATTCGAGGGTGCTGGTAGCTTTTGCGTGGCGGAGAGCATCTCCTTCAGGCTTTCTGTGCGGAGTGCGGGCATTTTCCTGCACTCTGGACAGATGTACCAGAACCACTTGCATGGTTGTCTCTTCATCAACTTATAGTATTGTCGGGGGACTTTGGTGTCGCAGTGGCAATGCGCCCATCGTTGACATAGGTTGCATGCAAATGCCTCATCGACTACCGAAACAACTTTGGTGCAAACACTGCAGCCATCGGGTGTCGTAATACAGCCTTCCTTCCATGAATAAGGTGCTACGGATTGTGGCGAACTACTTGTGGCTGCCTTGTCTGAAGCCTTTTACGTCGTCTTCTATTTCAGGCATGGTATGATCCTTGCTCAAGATAGGACTAGTTTGTGACGGGCTAGTGCTACTCTGTGTCACCTGTCTGATGGCTACTGGAATTCTAGAAACATGGGTTGGCCACTTCTTTAGAAGTTCGGTGTTCTGCCCTACCTCTGTTTGTCTTCTAGTACAGACTAGTGTGTTGTTAGGGTGTTATTGGCCCTTTTTGTGCACGACCGCGTTATCCGTGTCAAAGCTTCAGACCTAGCGTTTTGGGCAGACATGTCGCTATGATATAAACTTCTTGGGAAAACAAGTAGTTAACAACAATAAGAGGGTTGAAGACTGAATGCAGCAAAAGGACAGAATAGAAAAGGGAAGATAATTTATGTTGGCTCACCTTCAGACACTTGTCACTTGATCCTCTGCTCTTGACCAACGAGTTTAACCGTAAGCTCCAGATGCGTATGTATAACCAGGAAAGATATTTCCTGGGGAATGACCTCCGAGGAGAACCGAGAGCTAAGGCAGTTTGGCAGTTGAAACGCCCAAGAACCACTGACAGGAGGTAGACCGGTTGGTTCAAAGGAATAATAATGCCAATTTTCAACTGTTGAGAAGTGAGCTGACGAATTCGCAGCGGTGAGGTGCGCGTAGGAATAGAAGCGCTGCAAACGTTCGATCTTTTTAGAATGAGTATTGCAAGTGGGAGTTTTTCAATGTTGAGAAATCCAAAGACTGAGAGACGAGAGAAAACTCGTCACACGTTACAGAACAGGGTTTGACACCATTTTGGCTAAATAAATGTCCCATTCTCCTGACGTCCCATAAAATTTTGCAAGCTTCTCAACAATACTATATCCAATACCTTTATTAGACCCGGTTACCTAAAATGACAACATATTCTGAATAAGGAGACAGATAATGCATCATACAAAAGCCAGTTTCATTGTTGCTTGCCACAGACTCCCAAGTTATTCAGGGAACTTAGCAACAAAACAGATGTCAATGGGTTCGAAATGACGAAAGCACAGCAACACTGATGACAACGTGCACACAGAAATGTAACAACCAGTGGTTAATAGTGTTCTGTCTTGACTCAACCGCAACAGAAGCCAACTTTGGTAATCGTGCGTTACCAAATTCAAACTTCCTGTCTCAGAGACCCAATATCCAACAACAATAGTGCAAGTAGAGGAAACTTGCAGTTTTTGGGCTCTCGCCCCTAGGTCTTGAGGCTTGGTTCTTTTTGCTCGGTTGTGCTCCTTCGATGGTAGCGGAAGTCTTTGCATTTACCTGCCTATAGCTTTTGAGGTATTGTTTGTCTATTTGAAGGTGTTTTATTTGCAAATTGTAGCTTGGTTAGTTTAGGGGGGAACGGAGCTGCTGACAAGACCAATCGGTTGTTTAAAATTCCTGTTGTTGTAGGCACCTACAAGTAAGTGTTGAGCGTTACTTAACTAGTGATAGAAGCGGGGTGAGTAGGGAGTGAGAAAAAGAGAAGTGAAAAGCACTTTTGAAAAGATAAATGTTACTGGTAATAAAATCGAGGAGAGGTGCGTTTTACTGCAAATACTAGGGTTGTGGAATACAAGGGGAATGCATGGATGGAAGGGCGTATCATCGATTGCTACTAACAAATGTTCGTGGTAAGCCATTTGCGCTCACATACTCATCCAGTAGTCGT